CTTCCTTCCACCCCCCCCCCTCCTCCGCCACTCCTCCCCCCTGCAACACCCACCACCATCACCAAGGAGGTAAGAAGAGGAAGCTGCAGGGTCCGGGCTGTAATAAGCAGGAGGACAAAAACCCAATCAAATAAATACAATTCCACATCGCGTTTGAGTTGCTAAAGTAGGGAGGATGGGAAGGGAGAGGAGGCGCAGGGGCATTGCAGTGCGTGAATGGGTTTTTCATTGAGCAGAAGAAAATCCTGGAGGGTATTTTTGTTTTGTTTTGGAGCTGTCGCATTGAGATCGCCTGTGTTTTGTAGGTGCCTCTTCGCTGCTTTGCATTTTTAACGGTTTAATGTATTTCACGAGTAGAAAAATGTACAATACTGGAAGTGATCGGGGGCGGGGCAGGGGGAGAGCAGCTGAGCCGGGCTCGTTTCTTTGCATTTCATCATAAGGCTTTTAATGGATTTTTTTTTTTTTTTTTTTTTCTGGTCTCCGTTTCAGCGTCAGCTGTTCTGAACCCAGCAGAACGATTTCCCTTCGCGTTACCTTAACCGAGCTGAAGGGAGAACGCTGGATGTCTCTTTCGGACTTATAGTCTCTTTTTTTTTTCTTTTTTTTTTCTTTTTTTTTTTTTTTTTTTAATGTCTGAGGCAAGGAAGGGAAAGAAGCCTGTATTTAAGTTTTGGATGACTGAAAAGTCTCTGGAAGAACGCATACGAAGAGGAATGGGGCTGTGGTTGACTGGTCGTGGCTAGTGAGTGGGGGGTCCGGCCGAGGGGAAGGGCAGCAGCAGCAGCAGCGTGCATTTTCCGGAGGTGAGAGAGCTGGAAAGCTGGTGTGTTTGCAGGAGGTTTGGTTGCATGAAGTGGCAAAATGCACAAAAGTTGTTGTCTTTGCAAGCTCTCCGTTGCTCTTGTCTTAAACTGGAAAAAGGAGGGGGGAAGAAAAAAAACTTCCCCTACCTTCTTGGCAAATCAGGAGGCTTTGTTGGTGGCGCCGGGGTGGTTTTAATGCATTTTTGTGCGTGAGATTATTGCATAAGGTTGATAATTTCTGTTGCTGCTGGATTTCCCCTCCTCCTCTCCCCCCACCCCCCTTGTGTTTTGTGCGGATTTCTCTGGCTCGCTTTGAGTGAATGAACTGGCGATTTGCGAAGTTGCAAAGAGCCCCTCCGCCCCCTTTTTTTTTTTTTTTTTTTTGCATCCTTCTCTCTCCCCTTTTGCACTGCTCCGCGGATGACAAAAGGAGTAAACTTCCTCTACTTTTGCTGGCATATTAAGAGGGCTTTCTGGAGAGATTACGGTATCAAAGCCTCGCATCTGTCTACAGTTACTCTGCTGTTTTGAGCGTTCTGGAGCAGTTTGGGGAGAGCGGGCGAGTGCTATGTGCGAGAGCAGAGAGGTGCCCGGCATCCCTGCTCTGCCTCCCCGCCGGGTTTTGTGTCCCCACGGAGCGCCGGGGCCGGCGGAGAGCGGTGCCTGCGGGAGCACTACCTGATCGCTTTCCTTTCAATCTCTTGAGTCGGGAGGAAAGGTGTGTGAGAGGCATTTTTTTTTCTCAACTTACAAGAGGCTCCCTCTTTTCTTGCTGTTGATGATGGGATTATATTTTTTTTTCTCCTTCGGTTAAGAGGGAGTCACGTTCGTGTCGGTTTGTTTCTTCATGTTTTAATTGTGGTTGTTTTTTTTATTTTATTTTATTTTTGGTTTAGTTTCAGGTCTTGGGAGAACCTCTCTTCTTCTTCCCCTTGGTGGAAATACCCATAAAACCTGTCTCTAAAAACCATTGCCCGACCCAGGGATAAGCAAGAAGAGCCCCGTAATGCCAGGAATGGTCAGTAAAAACCCAGACCTCGAGTTCGACTCTTTGCAGCCTTGTTTCTACCCGGACGAAGATGATTTTTATTTATGCGGGCCGGACTCCGCTCCCCCCGGGGAGGACATCTGGAAAAAGTTTGAGTTGCTGCCCACCCCTCCCCTGTCTCCCAGCCGGGCCGGGCTGCAGGAGCACCCCCCGGGGGGAGCCTCGGTGCCGTGGGGAGGAGCGGGGGCCCTGGGGGGCTGCCGTCCCGCCGACCCCCTGGACTGGGCGTCCGAGCTGCTCCTGCTGCCCCCCGAAGCCGACCTGTGGGGGGGCTCGGACGGAGGGGACTTCTTCGAGACGGGCCTCGGCGTGACCAACAACCTCAACTCCATCATCATCCAGGACTGCATGTGGAGCGGCTTCTCCGCCCGCGAGAAGCTGGAGCGGGCGGTCAGCGAGAAGCTGCAGAGCAAAGCGCCCGCCGCCGCCGCCCCGCCGCCGCCCCCGGGGGCCGCCGCCGCGGGCAGCCCCG